GTGACAAGACGTACGCCGGGGTAAGGAGGGGAGGCTAGACCGTCCAAATCCACAGCCTCTTTTTTTCCGGTCTTCCCGGTCTACCAAGGACCCGGCCCGCCGAGACCGGGGAGTCTGGGTCCTCCGGAGGACCCGGCCTGTCGTTTTGGACACAGCCATAGTCTCTCCAGCGTGTCCTTGGTCCTCCCCTAGGTCTCCACCCAAGTGGACATGCCTGAAGTACCTCTCTAGGGAGGTGTTTGAACCACCCCAACTGATTCCTCTGAGTCTCTTCTCTTTTGGTGTGAGTGAGGGGGCATGTACCAAAAGTGACGCAATCACGCCGTCTCTGCCCCTGCTCATTGGCCCTATAAGGCGTCCTGACGCATTGTAATGCACGTCCAAATTTTTGACTTTGGATCTTTATAGAAACCCTGTGTTGGAGACACAGATTAAAATTATTTATACTCAGAGATTTGTAAGAAGTAATCTGTGATTAATGATGTWTTTGTTGAAATAAGTTATTAAACGAAGCGGTTAAAAATGAATGTATTCAGAAGTGTGAAGAGTCTGCAAATGATCATACCAGATGGGTTCTGGCTTGTCTGATATTTTCCTAATCATCAGAACTAAATTTGTTTATGCCAATAAGCATACATTTAAAACRAATAGAAAACTTTATAGTTTGCTTATACCAAACGACAAAATATAAGCAAGAATTTGTTAGACGACCAATTTGTTCGCTGTAGACTCCTTTTTAGTTTTTAGCTCAGCACACACATTACATTTCTACGGAGCCCGCTGGGGGTCAGTGGGAGAAAAAAAAAAACAGCCGCTGGAAATCCGTGAGCACGGATTACTAAACTGAGTGAACGGATTACTAAACTGAGTGAACGGATTACTAAACTGAGTGAACGGATTACTAAACTGAGTGAACGGATTACTAAACTGAGCGAACGGATTACTAAACTGAGCGAACGGATTACTAAACTGTGCTCACGGTTTCTGCAATTCGTGCGCACGGATTACTAAACTGAGCGAACGGATTACTAAACTGAGCGAACGGATTACTAAACTGTGCTCACGGTTTCTGCAATTTGTGCGCACGGATTACTGATATCTGGAGGGTGGTTGTGTGAGCAGTCGTTCATCAGCTCAGAAAGTGCTTAAGGAGCATTTTTTGTTCACTAAAGTCAAAGTACAGCACAGAAAATGTTGGACTTTGAGTATTTTGTACAGTTTTTGTCCCTCTATCAGGCAGTTTTGGTACCGGGTCTCCTAAAGGCTGTCTCAGCTCTGATCGGATCATCACAAAAAGCCGCTTTCTGCCCGTGGTTACAGGATGTTTATGGTTTCCCTGACAATGGGGAAGTTTTGCTAAAGTTAGCTAGCTGCCTTCTCAGGGTTGTATCACAAAAGTACTGAATAGATTTATGTTGAACTTTTAGGGAAATGTTTATTACTCTTTCAAAAAACATTTATTACACCACAGAAACATCTGAATAAAGTTTGAAACATTTCAGAGTAAGAGCGGGGCTGCGGCTCCCATGATTGTCATTCTGCAGATGAAGCTCACCACACAGGGACATTTCTCTGCAGCAAGCCGCTCGGAGGTTTTCTCCAGCGGTTCTCAGATGTTTATTCTCTTTCACAACAAAACGGGGGACGGGAGGGTGGAGGAGGCTAACCTCCGTTTCAGGATTCATTTGCCTGGAAAATATGAAAATAAATAAATAACCACGTCGGATTTTGATGAAACTTTCAGGGACATTCTGTGGCTAAAAAGTGTGTTGATGAGAACACGACAGTGCCTTAAGTTYATATAACAACAGATCCACTGAATTTACCTTGCAGATGCGGCTTCATACGGTTGTGTTCTGAGGCAAGGATTCGAGAAACACCTTGTAGCAACTAACCCCGACACAACAAGTTGTCCCGGCACTCACAGTATTCACTTCCTGTTTAGCCTTTCACAATAAAACCGGATACAAAAAAACAGATTGTACCACACACACACCATGCGTCCAACCTGTCGACACAATCTGCGTGCACTGATTGCAGAAACTGAGTGCACAGATTAGTAATCCGTGCTCTCAGTTTAACAATCCGTGCGCACGGATTTCCGGCGGCTGTTTTTCTTTTTTCACCACTGACCCCCGGCGGGCTCCGTACATTTCAGTCAGTTGTACTGTTCACAAAGTGTCAGAAATCCTTGTTTTGTCTTGTTTTTAGTGTTTTTTTTTCTTGTTTTTTTGGCAGTTGGCAAATAACTTTTTTTTTCTGCACCAGTTTTCAGGGTTAGCACGAGAGGCCAGTACTGGTTATGTCAGCATTGAACTGCCTCTGTTGTTCCAATGTTGTTCCAACCTCTTGTGAATAGTGTTTGTATATTTGTTGAAAATAATGATAAAACTTACCTGTGTTACTATGTATAATACTCTGTTTTTGTTTGTTTTTTTAGYTCCTTGTTAAAAATCACTCACTCAACTTTCTCTACCATTCAAAAGAGAGTTTTGTTTCATTGCAACTGYCTGTGATTTTTCTCAGCTTGTTCAAAAGCTTGAAATTTTGTTTAAAAAAACTGGAACTTTTTATATATGCCTAATGTTTTTTTGTTTTTTTTTGCATTTACCGAGAACAGAGCATTGGGTAATTTTAAGGGCACTGCAAATATAAAACACAAGCCTTGAGGTTCTACACACTGCCATTCACGTCAGAGTGAGCATGCATCAGAAGAGGATTGACAGCATCTTCTTCACCCATGTGGGGTTGGTAAGTCAACTGGAAAGAGTTAAGAGCACGTTTATAGTGGTTTGGTTAATCTCCAGTGTAGAACATGTCACATCAGGGCAAATGGTCTTAAATTGTAGACCAGTTAAGTATATTGTTGCAACATCAACACAAGAACTGTTAAAGCCCATTTTAGCAGTATTCCGCTTTCCACTGCCTTTTAAATTGTACCCTACATATATAAGCCACTTATAAGATTAACTTATAAGAAAGATTAATGCTAACTCATTAAAAAATGCTTTTTTATGTACAAAGATAGATGAAGTTGCTTCCGTAACACTGAAAAAAAGGACAGTGGACACAAAGGACACAATTTATCTAGGCATTCATGTTTTTTTTTTTTGTTTGTTTTTTTTGCGTTGTGCAGAGCCATTGAGAACTTGTGACCATTTCCAGTGGACATAAGACACACCGCACACCAATACCCACAGTCATGTCACAAAGTGCACATTAAACTTTTCAGAGTATTTGTTGGTTTTGTAGAAAATATTAAAAAACACTCAAGGCCACTTTGGACTTGCACATCTTGGTACAGAGATGACATGTTTGTGACAGCCTGTTATAGGCTTTACAGAGGTGCTGATTGGTTGTTTGAGAGAGATTTGAATCACAGGATAGAAGAACATCCTAAGCCTTTGTTTGCTCAGTCTGAGTGTAAAATTATTTCCTTTGATAATCCAGAACTTTTTGCCTGCATTTCACCTGAAGAATACTTCTGCGACACCAAATTAGCTTGGAGACAGGCAAGCCTATCATCTCAGTCAATTTATTCTACATCACTGAATATGGAAATGTAAAACTCCAACAGTCACAGTTCCTTTGATCAATACTGAGATCGACAAAATGAGATTCTCCTCAAAATCATTTTTGCAAAGACACATGCCTAAAGCCAYTGAACTGTTTGATTTGCTGTTAAAATTGCTACAGCTTCCAACAGATCATCTTTTGGACATACTCCAGCAGGAACATGATTTTAATGCAGTTCACAGCATTTGTTTATTGATCGTCTTGTATATAGAATATTTTTTGTTGTGCAGCAGTTTTTATTAAAAAGATTTCAGTTTACTTTTTCAATTGGCTGTGTTGGCAATATCAGTTTTGGCTATGTCCAGTGGCGGCTGGTGGATWTTTCTCCRGGGGGGCTACAACTCCAAAATAGACGTATCTCAAAAAGCATTCAAACTTGTACTAAGTTGTTTCACACCAGTGAATTTATCAAACAAATCCAAATAATAAAACAGTCATGTAATTTTCATTTTTAGTACACAAATTTTGTTCTTCTGTAACTGATAAGCAATTTTCTTCATGACTCTGGTTAAAGTCAGGGATGTTTTAACCAGATTATTCTCTATAGAGCATGGTCAGTGCAGTGAGATGTGATGTTGTACCTGAGGATGTGAGGAACTGGCTGTTTCTCTGTTTCCTGGTCTGATGGTCTGCAACTGTGAGGGATTTCCTGATGAGCTTCTGGGCTTTATTAGGCTTTCCTGCTGGCTGATCAATGCTGATGCATCTTACCTTTATGGTAGTGTAAAAGCCTTCCTAAAGTGTTTTGCTAAGAAGCTTTAAGCTTACCTTTTTGTCTTCTTTTGCCCAAGGTGGATTAGCAAAAGCCAATAACTTTCAGCCTGCCTGCCTGCCATCCAGTGGAACTGTCTAACCTGGAGATCAGTAAGGAAACAATCATCAAACCCTTTTCTAAGAATTTACCACTAACCATTAAGCCAGTACCTGAAGATCACTACCTTTGAAAGATCCCTCCTTCGTCTATGTCACTTGTCTCCAAGAAATTTGTAAGCAAAGAAATTTGTGTTATACTTCTATTTTCAGTTGAAAAGGATTTAAATTAAGAATTGTACTCACCTCTCCGCTTTCCCTCCTCTTCGCAGCCAAATGTCCATAAAGTTACACCTGTAAATAAATCGCTTACCTTTTATCATTGTCTCCTGGTCTGTTCACTCAGCTCCCCTACTTGTGTTGAACAAATTTAAAATCCTTGTCAGTGGAAAGTCTTGATTATCTTCGGTGTTGAATCCCCTCTCAGATTCAGCTGTGGTTAGA